AGCAGTGATAGTACAACTTCTTTCTTTGCTGGAGAATTGTCACAAAGAATAGGGACCTGCGCATGCATTATTGGAGTAGAATGGAGTAAGAATTAGCCTTCTATCACCAAGCAAAGTTGAGATACAGACCGACAACTGGATTGACAGGACTTGATGATGATGATGATGATGAAGATGAAAAAAAGTGGCTGAACAAAACGGCCGTTTTCCGGATTTTTGGCTTTCCTCTCAGACAAGGTTTAGAGCCACACTAGTGGTACCAATGGAGTCCTCTGGTCAAGATAAGGTCCTCTATAAAGTCTGGTAAGCATAGGAGCTCGTTTTCCCGGTATAGCAAGGCTGCAAAAGTCGTGGCAGCCATTTTGAAGTGGGGTGAATCCTACTTAGTAACGCTACCGCGTTACTAATATAACAATAATAACAGTTAGCTTGTAGTATTATCAATGAATATTATTTAAAGATTATGCATGGTACAATATTTTCAGTAAGCCAAACATGGAAATCATTTCTGTCTAGTGAATCAAGTAAACATTTAGAGATGTTAAAAGAGTTCTGTCTAGCATTCATTCCTTGCAAACAAGACAATGCTCTACTATCCCGCAATTCATTTATTATTAGTTTAACATCTTTTTGTGATGATGGCTTGCTGTGAGGGCCCATTGATTCAATTTGTCCTTTCATTTCAATCTCAAACTTCCGACATACATCATCGACTATACCAATACTTTTAGCTGCTTTAGCTATGGAATGGGGCTGAATATTAGATCCCATTTGTCTTATCATGCCTTTCAATCTTCTGTTTAAATGTTCCATAAACAAATCACAGGCCATATTACAGCCCTCCCTACCCTTTGTATTAATGAATCTGCTATCTCTTATCTGAGCTGCCTTTCTTTCCAAAGCAGTGAAATGATATTCTATTAAGAGGCTAGCTGCTTCTTTTGCATAATTTCGGTGGCCAGTTTTTCTAAAAATGATCATTATTTTTTATTCATCATTTTTATAGAATAGGTTGTGACATAACCTTTTGTATTATATCATCTTTTATAAAATTTTTATGCATCTACTATAAGGACAAAGATATTCTTAAGTTATATTAGATCACTATCAACAATTATTTATGCAGGATATATTAGAAGTACCTAATCCTGAAGGATCAGTACAATGGCCTAAGGAAAGATTGGGTCATTCCAGTGTACTGATTACCACTAGTTCAGGACCATATTTACTTGTGGTGGGTGGATGGTGTACCTAGATGGCTGGTTAACATTGAAAAAAGGAAATGGAAAAAACTGGTATTTTTTTATGCTTTCACAAAATTTGCTAAATTAAAACCTGCCAATTAATCACCAAAAAGTTACACTGAGCAACTTGCTTAAATTTCCCCTTTAAATTGTAAACTTGCATCTCACCAATGTTGTATTACTTGGTGAAAACTGATGATTGCTGGAATTCACAGTTATTACGAATTAACATATGATATGTGTACACACAAACTCGTATGACAAAACACAACATAAACTGAAAACAGCTAGAATACTTTAATAAAAATTGATACACACTTTACTGAATTATATTGTGTAATATTAATAATATTTTATATTGCATTTGAATAAAACAGTTACAATTTTAGCAAGATGTTGTAATTTTGATTGATTAATTTACCAGTGGATGTCACTAATAGATTCTGGCATTCTCTATCAGTGTGGAGTATAACTCCAACAACTAACTGGATTATAGAGTTTGGAGGAGATACACATTACACTGATACAGCAGTTACTGAACTCAGTAAGTATACCATATGGCTCATAAAGTAAAAATATTACTTACTATGGTACATTGAATATGCAATGATAATCATTAAAAATTGCATTTAATATACTGTATAACTAAAGAATTTGAATTCTCAAATTTCAGCAAATCGACTCTAAAACAGGTTTAAAGGGTAGAATACAAAATTTGCATGCTGCTACAGAGCCCTATCAAATTGGAGAATTCAATTTTCAGCAAACAGACCTTAATATGCCAAATTCGCCAAAACTTTACTCCAATTTTTTTAGCCATAAAATAAAATGGTTTAGATGACCGTAATCTGTACTATTTTGTTACTGTATAGGATATACTAGTGATATTGGTTGGTCTGCCAATGTAATACCTCTGGACCACTATCAAGATCAACTAAGAAGAAGGATACTGAGTGATTGGGAGAATTTAGGAACAGAAAAACAGCTTCAAATATTTCAAGATCGTCTTCAATTAGAAAGAGAGAAAGAATTCTATGAGGAACAGCTTCAAAGAGAAATAAAAGAGAAGGAGCAGATACAGCAAGATCAAGACAAAGAGCAGCAACAGCTTCTTCAAGAAAAGGCAACACTTACTCAGCTAATTAATGATGCTACCACTCTCCTTGAGCAAGCAGAAAAGGATAAATTATCTCTTGAATTTGGTACCTTTGTGTTGTACTGTTGTTTACATGTGCATTGTTTAGTGTTTACATTATAATACTAGTGGATTAGACAATGTTGAATGGAAATAGTATCCTGTACTCAATTTAGGTCAAATTGTCCATGCATTAGAAATAATGAGATTGATGTAGAGTGAGCTCTGCTTACCATATATGGTATCATTAGCAATAATCATAGTACATGTATTTGTGGGCTATTATACATGCAGTGCAAATTTGTTCAAGCAATAAATATTTTATTTTCTATCTTTGCATTTTTATTGATAATAGAAGATTATAAGAAGCTTGAAGCTAAAGTTGCTGATAGTGAAGTATATGTAACTAAAATATTGGGAATGAAGACACAAGTAGAGGAGAAGAAAAAAATTATTACTGGTCAGTGTATCATCAGCATAATATTAGATGAGAGACTTTTATTAATGCAGAAGATTATGAGAAACTGAAACTCAAAATAGCCAATTTGGAGGAACAATATCTTAAAGAAAAACAGATCATTATTGGTTAGTTAACTATATACACACAGCAATGTATTAGGATTTGTTTATTGTTTAGATGACAATCAAAATCTCAAAACTGACATTTCTGAGAAAGACAAAGTTATAGCCAAGCTGACATCACAAGTAGAGGAACAATTACAGAATGAGAAACAGATCATTACTGGTTAGTGTATCATCATCAATAATATTATTTTTTAACTTATAGACCTTAGAGCTAAAGTGTCTAATAATGAATTGTATACAACCAAACTAATGAAGGAGAAGTCACAACTACAGGAAAGAGTCACATCCTTAGAGGAACAATCCATCAAAAAGACTAGTTCTATTAGACTACAATTTAGTTACCTGATCCCTTCAATGGGTAAATTATTTATATACATGTACATGTACAGTACACATGGGAATGATTGTATGTGTACTGTACTGGTATTAGATATGATGTGCCTGTATTGTTTCAGATTCGCTAGACTCTAGTGTCATTATAGCTGGACAGAAGCTCTTTGTCCTACAAGGAGACAGGTCTCACTCGATCCAGTGGGAGAAGCATGGATTCAGATTAGAGTGTCCTCAAGGAGCAGTGTCCAAGGATACTGAAGTAGCTGTTACTGCACTAGCTGGTGGTAATTTCAAGGTACCCAAAGGTACTGTGCTATAGTGAGTGCAGTATATGCAATATCAGTATCTAAGGCACTATTAAAACCACTGGTAATAGAGCTACAACATAGTTTGGATCTGAGGAACACTAGTCAGACTGGTTGCCTCAAGTTTGTCAGAGCTTCACTGAAGTCTCCCAATGCTTACCAGTTCAGTATAGTTGAAGGAGGATCTTTTTAGTGTAGGGAGCAGTTATGGTTCTATTGAACGTGATGAATTCTGTGCTCTTGGTATTGGGCATGTTGGTAATGGAGCACACCTAATAGAGGTGGGAATGGGTCGGAGAATGATACACAAACTCAAGGTATACAATAGTGTTTGTATTAATAAATTACTGTTGATGTGTTTGTATGATGTATAGGAACAAATAATGATAGTGAGGAGGAGACTGATGGAGACACACCTAATGATAGCAGTAATGGAGCAGGAGAGAATAGTAGTGGAGGAGGAACCACTCTGTCAGCAAACACTACACCGCCTCATGATGTAACTGTATCATGTATACTGCATGTTATGTTTTACCTTATAGTCTCAATTAATGATGATCCATCTCAGTTAGTCCATGAGGTAGAATCCCATACTACTGAAAAACCAACAGTCAGATCATGTACTAAGTAATTCTGATGGAGCTAAAGCTATTGTATCCAGTGAACAGTGTCTAGCAAGGAATGATGATAAATCACTACAATCTTCTACTGATTATTTTCATTCAGACAATAATGGTATTCTATATGTATTACAATAATTCATGCATATACTTTTACAGCACCTTCTCATGATACATTGTATTCTGGAATGATGTACTACGATAAGAAAGAAGCTGGTCATTGGAAAGCAATGTATTCTGTTGTTAGAGATTTGGAAGTTCTTAAAAGGGTAATAAAGTATACACTGTATGTACACATGCCAGCACATACAACTTTTGATTATTCATTGTATTTTACATTCACGTAGCATTTAGAAAGCAAGCACTCATCAAGTATTGAATATGATGATGTTGTTGACTCATTTAAGTTTATTCAACAAAATGGAACTCTAGAATTTGACACTACACATCGTACAGCAGGTAGGATGGACTGTTAATCCTATCAGAAATCCAATGAAAGTAAGTACCAGGAGTCAGAAATATTCCTTTCTTATATGCACATGTAGTTGTTTGAGTCAAGAGTTAACCAGTTTCCATTAACTCCCTCATATGCAACCTGCAGTATATCAGTGTATGCTGAAATTGGTGTTGCTAAAAAGCCGCTTCACTGTCCCATTAAACTAACTGGAATAGATCCTTCAATGACAATCTATATTGACCGGTGTCCTCCACCCACTCCATCAATCAGTTAGTGTATGATTTTAAAACTGAAATTATTTGTTTGTGTAGTAGACAGTACTAGCTCAAGGTCTTCTACTGCTACTATCATTCAAACCAGGAGAGAGACTGAAGAAGGTATTATGGTTAATATTAACATAATAACACACTAATCACTGAATTAATAGGTACATTTAGATCTGATATTGCTCACAGAGTAATGACAGAATGTACTTCTCTAATAAAAGATTGTGGGACTGATATTCACTTCTTAGTTGATAAATTGCTTCAATACAAAATTGTAAATGTTAGAGAAAAAAGAAGAATAGTTGCACAAGAAAGTGACGCTGAAAGAATGGATGAATTGCTTCTCATCATTTTGAGTTCCATTTGTATGGATGGAAAAGTATTTGGTATATTGTTAGATATACTCAGAGAGGAAGATACTCTAAGAACAATTAAACTAGCTAATGAGTTAATACAAAAATATGATTTTCTTACAACAGACTAAAAAGTATTTCTAATAATGTATATATTTGATTAAAAGTACTTCAATTATTGAAATGACTATACATTGATGCAATCATGAATGACAGAATAATAGTAATATTAATATTAATAGTAATAATAAGAATAACAGTAATTAATTGGCATCACAAAGCAATGTACAGTTGTCATTTTCACAGACACTAAAGCAAATGCTTTTTGATAGGTGAACAGAGTCCACTATTGGTATTTTTAAAAATGAACTGGGAATATTACATGTCTCATAATATGCGGTTTTTATGGTTGATAAATCCATCAGTATTAGCCGCTGTTTTTGCCTTTACATTATTATTAGTTTTAGCATATTTGTTGGTTTAGCAGTATATGATGGAGATGCATGCAGTTCTGACTGAAGAATCAGCATCTAATTATACACAAAAATAGTTATAACAGGATCACCTTGATTAGTATTAGCAACACTGTGCTGTTTTGTGATGTCACTTATACTGAACTATATCAGATACTCATTGGATTAGACTTAAAACTGTGCTATACTGATTACATTAGCAGCCTTTGTAGCTTACTCACATATTACAGGAAGCATACTAGCTGATAAGTATGGGCTTTATTTTAATGGTGAAAAGTGTGCCATATCCCATTATTTTTATGTACGAAGTGAATGTATATAGTGGCAAACGGTTTCTATTTTTAAATTGTAAAAATCAGCCACACTTTCAGAAAAGAATGGACAGACAGACCACCAATGGTTGAAGGTGCAGCTGTAGCTACTATAAATACTGCAATAATTGCAAGTCAAATAATATCATCACTGGTCATTGAACCTGTTGTTGTTTTTATACTATTTTCTATATGCTAGATAATGATATTATTATTATCAATTACCAAACATTCTTAGCATTCCTTTCTTAAGACAATCCGTTGATTTAAATAAATAATCTACATATTCAATGCTAGATAATTATATTGGTATTCAAATAGTGCATCTCTTTACTCAACCAATAGCAATAAATTTATTATAATTACTGATCTCATTGATACATCTTTTTATATTTTTGGTGTATGTGCCTATACTGATAATGGATATAGAAAATGGACATTTATTGTTAATGGGACCCTAGAGCTGCCACAACCATCAACTTGCTTTCCTTCAAATAACAATGCATTTAACACTAATGATTCATTCATCACTGCTAATAGTGACACATCCAATACTGTTATTTGACTCACCACGCTTGTTGCTCTAAGTGTGTTAGTATAGGTGTATTGTGTATTCTACTACCTGCCAGTGTTATTATTCATATCAATCATTCAATTGCTTTATAAAGTATAGTTAACTATAATGAGTGTTAGTTTTATTGTTTTCCCTTTAGAAAGAAAAGTTTATATGCTATTGACAAGCAAACAAAGTTAGCTCATTATCTTATGACTCGCCACTTACCAAATATAATGATATAAGTGATGATAATATTCCAATGCAAGTCTGTGAAATGTGAACCATACAAAATTCACAAAAAAATAAATAAAAATTAAGAAGCATATGCAGAATGTAAAACATCACCTGATGATATTTATGAACCTATGCCCCCAGCAATGAATGTTATTTAAAAACTGCTAAAATGTTTCCTCTAGTTTTAGTGTAGTTACTAAGGAAAAATGCTATACAATAATTAGGGAACAAACAAGGTTTTGCAACCATCCATTTTACTTAAGAGAAACAGAGACGTCATCCAGTGCCCACATGTCACAGAATAGGGAGCGATCAAAAAACTCTGTCGCCAAAAAAAAGACACTTGATCCAAATCTTGAACTTCAGTGGTGACACTTTAAAGTATTGAGCCCTCACTGTTAGTTACAGTGCATGGAACAGTAATATCAGGATCAGCTCCGGTTGAGTATAAGGTCATTGTGGAATCTGGATAACATTTTGAAACTTTAAAGTATCTAGTGTCAAAGGCCACATTGTTATTATCAGCATAATAATGTACTGGAGTGGATGTGTTCCCTAGTTTCTTCTCAAGGAGGAGTATTCCTTCATTTATATAATCCAACATCTGACAGTCACAGTTGCAGAAACACAAATATCTCACAATCATTGAAAATGTCAAATAACTAAAAATAAACCATGCAAGTATGCAACATCAGCTTACATTTCAAATTTTTGCCGTAAAACTGGTTCAACTGGAAGACACTTTTGTTTCTCTATTGGGCACACTTGAGGCTCTATAGCTTCCATTGCAACACTAGGCTCCATCATTGACTCATTACCCACTAAGCAGCTATTTGATACTTGGAAAGGATTAAGAGTTAGAGCTTTAGAGAAGATCCTTTGAATTTTATTACTGGCACAAATGGAAAGGAATTTGTCACAGAAAAAGGATGTTTCGTTACTACAAAATATTATGTAAATAATCAGTTCAGTTCAGGAGCAACATCATGTAAAGATGGGGTACTGTATTACTGGTGAGATTGCTATAAGTTTTGCTTATTTCAAAAATTGGCTTTTAAAAAGGTCATGACTCAAAAAGCAATTGTCGGAAACAACTCAAACTTTCTACGTAGCATATGGACATCTACGTATCAGAAAATGTAACAAAAATTTGGGTTGATTTCAGAGCCATTTTTTTGGAAAAACCATGGGTATTTTTCAGATTTTTGGCATTTTCTTATAATGGCCGTAACTTGAAAAATTCAAGTTGGAATTAGCTCAAACTTGCTACACAGCATAAGGACATCAATATGTATCAAAAAATGTAATAAAAATTTGGGGTGATTCTGGAGCCATTTTTTGAAAAAAACCATGGGCTAGATTTTTGGCATTTTCTTAAAATGGCTGTAACTTGAAAAATTGAAGTCGGAATTAGCTCAAACTTGCTACACAGCATAAGGACATCAATATGTATCAGAAAATGTAATAAAAATTTGGGGTGATTTGGTAGCCATTTTTTGGAAAAAAAACCATGGGCTATATTACCCTTGTGTATTTTTAAAATGTTACTCAAAAAAATTTGTCAGAAATAGCTCTAACTTTTTGTACAGCATAAGTGTTACAAAAAATGTAATAAAAAGTTGTCACAAAGAGACAACACTGCTTATCAAACGTTTACTCCATAAAACCCACCATTACAATTACCCCATGTCTGGCACTATGATAATATAGTACATACTAAAACTCTCCTGTTTCTAGAATAAGGTGAGTAAATCTATTAATCTGTAAACAACTACAAGAAAGTTTAGGAGTTGCTGGTAGCGTTAGCCTATACTGCACTGCAGTATTGCTTGGTAGCTGCTGTAGAGTGATACTTTGCTTTTCATGCATGACATTGTCCTATAGTGAAATGATTATAATGTGTACTGTTAGCATCTGATAAAGTAGTTACCTAAATAGTAATAGGCCAAGTACCACTGAGTGAACTGTTGCTGCTACTTCTTGCATCTGACAGAAAGCTCTATTGGAGTTGGAAAGCCATTGCAATTAGCACTGACATTAAAAGTGATATTAAAAACAGCTTGATAGGTATACCTATACAAATAAGACTCTTATTGCAATAGAAATAAATCACTTCTAGCTTACTGTTTAGAAAAAGAATCAGAAAAAATCATCACATGGAGGCATAAAATGAAAACAGAGTTCAGCAAAAACATAGCAAGCTTGAACTAGACATGGCAAGTTATAGGGACCACTCAATAAGAAATTGTGAGATGCAAAACCAGTTTTTGTTTTTTTATAAAGTTTTGCATTATTATTTCTACATTTCTAATGCAATTTAAATGTCAAACTATTTTATCATTTTGCTTTTGTTAATTCAAAACCATAAGTCTAAAAATCCACAGAAATATACAATAGTCAACCAAAGTCATACTTTGTACTAAAATGAAGATGTTTCATTTTAAACCATCTTAGTATACAATTATTTGTAGTTTTGTTTACCACATTTATGTTTTTTGGCTTATAACTGTTCAATGTATATACGTTTT